TAATTCTTCTGTAACTTTCAGAAGCTCTGGCTCACTTGTGTTCAGGAGTGGTTAACTTTGTATTGATGAACTCTCACTTCGCCTCAGATTTCATGCTCTCAGCTCCCACAGACACTTCAGCTAGTATCTGAGGTGACATGTTTTAAGGACTGTCCCTTGTAATTTTTCCAGTAGTTAGTGGAGGCAGCATTAAGGTAAGACTTTTATTAAGCTACACTTAAATGTTGTAGGTTTAAGCACAAACAAAGCTCTTTCCTGAACTCACCTGTCCAGAACTTGAGACAGGTCAAAGTCTCCCATCGTCTTGATGTGAGCTGCTAAGCTGCTGATGATGATGTGTGAAGAATTAAGTCAGTGAAATGAATCTTCGTCTGTCACCGGTTTCCCCTCTGCTCCAGTTGATAGCCCCGTCCCAACTGCAGAGTAACTGAGAGGCTCAGTCAGGGTCGTCCCTCTATAAGCATCAGCTTCCTTCTTGTGGCTTCACGTGTGTCTACTCTCTCTCTCTCTCTCGGTCTCGCTCTCTGAAAAACCAAATTACCTTTCACAGAGTTGAACCACTCAACTGAAAAACATCAGAACACACTGATTTCCCTGTAATCTTGCCCATTGTGAGGTAAATAATACATAATGCTTCAGAGATTAGTCACCATGTGGGATTTTTGTTTTAGTTCTTGTAAAATGTCACCTCTGGTTATGACTCACTTTGGCTTTTATTTAGCTGATATGACATTAACATCAAATCAAATCAAATTTTATTTGTATAGCGCCAAATCACAACAAAAGTCATCTCAGGACACTTTACAAACTAAGGTCTAGACCTTACTGTTATCAATATTATTATTATTATTATTACTACTACAGAGGAGTATCACTTATCACTATTATTACAGAGGGAAAACCCAACAAATCCCCCTTGAGGAAGCACTTGGCGACAGTGGGGAGGAAAAACTCCCTTTAACAGAAGAAACCTCCGACAGACCCCGGCTCTTGGTGGGCGGCCTTCTGCCTCGACCGGTTGGGGTGAGTGGGTAGAGGACAGACAAAAGAAGAAAAGCAACAAGACACAACAATCAAACACTGATCAGGTCGATGTGGCTGGTGACTGCTCATCAGAGACATAGAGCTCCAGAGCCAGAGCAACCTGCATTAAAACTGACTGAATAGTTAGTACTCATCAGGTGGACGTCTACATAAGATATATCACCTTTTGTTAAATTCTACATTAGATTGTCAGGCTTGGATTCTGTGTAATTTACAAATGAAGTAAAAGTACCAATAGAACAACATAAAGATGCTCTGTCATGAGTAAAGGTCCTGCAAAATGTTACTTAAGTATTAGTATCAAAATATACTTGTAGTTATTCTGTAGTAAATGAGTAACAAACAAGAGTGAAATACACCAGCGGTAGCCTCTTTTGACGAGACTCTTAGTTTATAAAACTCCCTCCTGATGTACTCGCTGCACCCCGAGAATGCCAGATCACAGACTCGAGTCCAAGAGGGTCTGGTTTAAGAGATAATTGGGCCTTTTAGTGCAGTAGAGCACAACCTTCCAATGCCAGTGGGATTATCTCTCCTACCTACTGGAAGCTCTGGTGAGCAGTGGTGACTGTGGTCTTCTAAATGCGCTTATCTATTTTAATGTTAGCGCCTTAATGCACTGTGATTTATTGAAAGTGACTAGACTTTACCGCGCTGCGGCCAGGCAGCTCACTGGCAAACCGACCGCACTGGGCTGAACCTTTATAGGCTAGCCTAGTTTAATAGGAAACCCAGTACCTCAAAGCACGGCTTACTCACTAAATCACTGCAGAGAAAAGGAATTTCAAGTGATATATGTGTGTCTGGCCATATGTAGGTGGAGGTGGCTCTTACCTGGGGATGCTGAGAGAACCCCTCTCTCTCCTGGGTGATGCTTGAAGAAGGCAGCCTGGAGAATATCAGTTTAATAAAGTTTAGGAATTTTGATTATATGGGATACGAGAGAGCTAAAGTGAAATACAAAAATTAAAGATGCTCTAGGCTGAGGTTGATGCTGCGGCCTAGTCGGTCTGCTCTCGCCGCAAAACACGCCCCCCCCCCCCCCCTGTCTCAGTCCTTTATATATGACATGCCCAGGGCGCAGCCACAAGGTGTTCAGTCCATTACCAACACCTCGGTCGCTGACGCAGTCCATTACCTTGCTAAATCCTCCCATAAAAGGTGACAAACTACAGTACTTTACTTTCATAGCATAAACTCACAGCAACGTTCTGTTGGGTGTTGAGTATAATTGTACTCTGATGTGCACTCCTAAGGTTGACGTGTCTACTTTTTAGCTTCTGCATGTGTGCACCCAGGGTGAGACAACAGCAAGCCTGAGTGCTTGGAAACAAAGAACCAGTTACTTTACTGGTTGCACAGGGAAGTTGGTAAAATAAGAAGCACATATGCAACCATATGTTTTCTAGGGCCCCCTTATCCCCCTGGGCCCCCTGGCCACGTGCACCAGCTGATGATTCATATCGAGGCCACCGACTGCAGGTTAGACCTAGCCACTCCGCTGCTGAGATGTCTGAGATTAATGTCCGGACACTGCTCCCTGCATTTAGCCTGACATATGTCAAATCTCTGCTAGAACTTAAAATGAGGCTCTGTGGGCTTCTTGACGAATAACAGAAGCACCAATGGGGATAAAAAGTACACTTTCTTATTGTTGTGGCTTTGTGTGTAGATTTTTTTTTTTTTACCTGTTTGCAGAAAGTCAGTGTTTTAATAAATGGCTGCTGGATTAGTGTTCAGAGGTACAGCCGTGTGGTTTTGTTGTGGATGTGACTGACGGTAAACTGAGCTCATCTGACCTCAAATACTGAGATAATGAGAGAATGTTTCCTGTTTGTACATCTTTCTTAGTTGCATCTAGTGCTATCCTTAATTGGCATGGAAAGTTTTGGTTTTACTACTGAGAGTTGTTTCTGAGAGTGCCCCCACCCTAGAACAGTAGCACTGAAGGGATTTTCCATGACAGAAATTTTGATTTATAGTGTACACTCCTGCTGGCAGCTCTGTGAGGCTGCACCAGCGATGCTTTCAGCTGAACGCTGCAGCCCCATGAGGACACAGTGGCAGGGGTTTAGCTGACATTTGCTGCAGGTACCACTGCAGGTGAGGTCACCAAATCAGTTTCTCTGTGGGACCTTTGGGCGCATGCGGTGAACGAGACCTGAGGCTGGTGCGAGTGTTTAGTTTATAGCTTATTTTTCCACCTTTTATTTGGACATTTAAGCAGTTTGAGTCCAGTGAATAATCTTAAATGGTCCAATACTAAGAAATAAACTGTCACAGGTCAAAAAATAAAAGTTGGCAAAACCTAAAACTGTGTAAATGTCATATAAACCAGGTCTTTTTCAGGGTCCAGTAACAGATGAACTTCCATCTCTACTGTAGCAGTGTGTTCAAAGGCCACGACGTGCTAAGCCCTGGACGTAGCTGAACCTCTCACACTAAGTAATACTATTAACACTGTTGATTGTTGAACAATATGATTAAACTCATTATCTAGTTGTGTTCTAAGATAGGGCATTTGAATTATGTGTAATATAATGAGTAAACAACAAGAGTCGTCCCTGGTAGGCTAGTGGTTAAGGCACAGCGCTCTTGCCACTGCGCCTTAACCCCGGGGCCCGGGGTTCATCAATAATTGTTTTTATTTTACAACCTAAATAAATCAGCAAATATTATCTCTAGCGCCGGGTTCAAATCCAGGTTGGGTCAGGAAGGGCATCCAGTGTAAAACACGTTCCAAATGTCAACATGCGAGTCGTCAGTGTGACGATTCGCTGTGGCGACCCCTAAAACGGGAAAAGCCGAAAGTGACTTTCTATAATGAGTAAACAACTGACTAGTTTATCTAAAGTATTTTCTGATGCAACTGTCTGAAAATTATGTCAGTAATTTAATATTATCTCTTGAGATTAACCACATTTAAACTAATTGTATTGTAGTTTATGTATTAACCATCACATACAGCTTTAAAAAACACAACAAGGTTTAAAACTGTTCTGAAACAATAAGGATGATAAAAAATAATAATAATAATCACAGTATTTAGCTGTCATTGGTTAATTTCCCAAAATAGGACACTCAGGTTAGTGTATATAATGTAATGAGTAAATATCTCAGTTCATCTCAGCAGCAGGAGACTAATTCAAGCCAGTAAACAAACTGGCCTGGTTATCTGAAAGGCACCGCTAATGGAGGAAGTGGTGCACGTATTGCAGGCACAATGTGTCATCTGTGGAAACTTTCACTGCTTTTAAGTGGTGCAATTGTTAAAGGTGTTGCAGCACCAAGCATTTTCCTGGAATCTTTTTAACTTGGTTAGGTCTGCCCTCTGTAGTAGTAAAAATGATATTAAGGTGCAGACTGAGATGACTTTAGTTGTGATTTGGTGGTGTACATTGAAACATGAAACCATGATGTCAGGGCTTCTGCAGAAATTCATCTTTACCTCAATCTTCACACCTCCAGCGTACTACTGACAAGGTGTAAACAGCACAGAGGCTGCTCTTATCACGTCTCGTCGTAGGGCTGTGGCTCAGTGGCCTTTCATCTGAGTCCTCTTCCCAATCTGCTGATCAAATCTCTTATATGAGCACAAGCTTTTATTTCACTCAGCGCAGTAACAAAACACATTTTCTGTGTAACAAAAGATGTCACTTTATTTTAGTCTCTTGTTCTAATTAAGTTAATAACACAACATAGGATTTGATTAGTGATTTAAAGGAGTGATCAGCAGTAACACAGTAGTGAACTATCAAACCCAGATTGTGCCGTGCTGAGCAGCTGCAGGGCTTCACCGCGTGTTTTCATAAAGGAAGTGACAGAGCTGGTGCAACAGGTGGCTGTGGCCAGACACCTTCCTGGTGTAGTTGTTAGTGGCTGTTATGGAGCAGCATCACCCTCCATGTGCAGTGTGGTCTCAAGGCTTCAAGGCCGTGCACAGGGAGCTCACAGTGAATGTTGACTTTGGACTGGAGAAGCCAAAATGTTGTGTTGTGTTGTGTCCTCTATTTTCTGGTTGTATCTTAATAAAGGGACTGAGAAACGATCATTACAACCTAATGGTGGCCTAAGACCTTTACACGGTTCTGTATAGTACGTTGTTTTAAAGTGCTCATTATGCCGGATGGCCTCCCCTAACCCTGACACGAGGACGAGATCAGATGTTGCATGTGCAGGTTAAACATTTTTCTCCCAGGACCTCAGCAGCTCTCCTGACCACAGGTCAGTCTCAGCAGAGCTTTGAGCAGCTGCAGCCGCTGACGGCAGCTTCGCTCTGCAGACAAATAAAAGCAACTGTCAGATTATAATTCTACTTCACCAAATTTAAAGTACCATAAACTGAAAGAGTTGAAGTTCATGTACCTACATATGATTTGAAGTACGCTGCACGCTGACATCGCGTGTTGACTTCCGAGCTAAAAGCAGAAGCTGAGCTGAGCCTTGTGGTGAGCCAGTGTGAATACCTAGCAATGTGGTGTCCAGTGTCATTAATCTCAGAGACATCCCTTCAGCCCAGTGGGAAGTGAGCAAATTCAGTTAAACGTAAATGACTTGGAGAAGTGCTGATGAAGTATTTACAAAGTTTACATTTTGTTTTGTTGGGGTCAGGTTTGTGTGCCGGGTAGCTGCTCTTCCCTTTTCCAGACATTAATGTTCACCACATGAAAACCACAATAACAATGACACAGTAAGGATGTGAAACCTCTTCAGGGAACAAACTAATTCTTTAGTTAAATTCTTAAGTTCCGGAGTGAATTTAAGGCCAACGTAGACCAGTCAGAGGTTTTTAACTTCTCCAAAGTATCGAACTGTTAACTTCAGTTATTGACTTTGTAAGATCAGTTTAATTTGTCACCAAACCACCTGTTACAGCTTAGACGTTGGTTGACTGGAGCTGTGCATATGGTTTTGGTTTAAACCAGTAATAAGTGGCCTCTAAGCTGCTGATCACCATTAGGTAGGGCTGGCCATCCTGGAAAAACCAGCAAGAGGAGTCTGCTCCATGCGGCGGTCTTCTCACGATCCCACTGCTGGTGGCAACAACACCAGCATTACCCATAAGGCCATGTGGCCTAAAGGGAAAGGCCTGGCCTGTAACAATGGTCTCTCTAGCTTTAGCTGTACAACAGAGCAGTAACATCTGCCTGCAACCGTGACGCCGTGTGGGGGCAGAGTGTGCATGTAGGAAGTAGGTTGACAGGCAGGTGGGCCGTCCAATGGTTTTGCCTGGGACGAGTCAAATTATTGGTCAGGCGTTTTCCAGATTTCTTTCTGTTGTCAGTGCATTTAATATATTAACTGTCATCTGAAAAGAGAAATGCTTCTGGAAGGCCGGAGAGCAAGGAGACGAGCCGCCAATATGGAAGGCTCATGTCATTTTGGGTTGGTTGTTTGGTTTTTGCAGATAAAATACAACAATTTAATAAAAACAGGAGGCAAATTTACTGAACTTAAAGATTTATTTAAAATAACTAATGAACATTGTCTCTGCCACACTCTGCACTGCCCTCATTGTAAAGTTAAAACTAAATTCTAACTGAACTTCTTTACAACAACACTACGGCGGCTGTGTGCAGACATTTTGGTTAATCGGCCGCTGAGCGCGGACACGGCACGTGCACATTATACCAGGGTGCCAGATATCGGCTGAATAATTAATTGATTAATCAGCCGTTCACTAGTCGTTTCTGTGTGGAAACAAGAAAAGCAGACAGCAACACGTTCTGTTTGTTTACTCTGTGTTGATGTGTTGTGGAAGAGCAGCGGATGAAACTGTTCTCTAAAACCTTTGTGGTAACTGTTGGACCAGGGGCCTAAAAGCTGCGTCCGCACATGATGCTCTACAGCTGTGCGCGTCACCGAGTAACACCTGTATCACAGCTGTGCGCGTCACCGAGGCCCCAGACCGACGCTGGTGTTTACATTGTCTTTTGATGCAGGAGAACTTATTATAATAAAACAAAACTTAAGTAAACAGCAGAAAGATGTGTAGTGGTGGTCAGGAGACGTCTGCAGGAACATGGAAAAACACTGGATGAGTCGGACACGTGGAGCCAACGACGGTAACAGCTGTATCACAGCTGGCGCAGAGCCGACTCCCAGACGTGTGTCTGTGTGTGTCTGTGTGTGTTCCTCCTGCTGCCCCGTGTTGTTATCGTCCAAGTCCCCAGTGTTGCTACAAGTCAACAAGTCTATTTACTTCGGTTTCATTGCTGAGACCCCGTCTTCTCTACCAGTCTGGCACCTTGGACGGTGATAAATGGATCACACGAGTCAACAGAACAAAGCAGAGACTGAGAACATGGAGCTTCCTTATTTATTATTTGTAAAGTCAGTAAATGAGTAATGTTCTCTGTGACAACACAGAGCTCTGATGTCTGGGGGAAGCCCCGCCACCCAAGGCACCGGGTGCAGATGTTTAGCTTGTAAATAGACCTGAATAATTAACGGTGTGTCAGAGAGCAGCTGTCAACTGGCCGAGCTGAACACTAAAGTGTGCATCGCGTGCACCGTATACAAACAGGAGCGTGCGTGTGGCCGGACGAAACCTCGCCTTGAACTTCAGGGGATATTTTTGCACATGTGTAGGAGTGGGGTAGCACATTGGGTGTAGGAGGAGTGCGTGGATTTTATTGGTCCCTCTCGTTCTGGGGGCTGTTTCTGACAACACACACATGCAACAGTTACACACATTCACAGACGGACACACACACACAGGGGACAACAAACAAGCTGCTTCAGGCCTCACAGTAGCACAGGATCAGATCAGTCTGTGCAGGCACAGCGCCCCCTGCTGGACCCAGAGACAGGCCCTCAGCTTGGTCTGAACGTGGATCTCTGGGAGCTGTCTGATTTTAGCAGCAGTCCACTGACCCTGACATCAGGCCTAATGGGTCCTCTGTGTGTGTGTGTGTGTGTCCACAGGCTGTTGAACACACTGGGTGACACAAGCGCTACTTATTTTAGGGCCACATCTAAACGAGACTTTCATTATTGGTTGATCTGTTGATTATTAAGGCTGAAGTCATGAGGTTCACTTTGCTACAGGATGAAGAAGGGCAGCAAATCTGAGAAGCCGGAACCTGTAAGTGTTTTGTGTTTTGCTTGGATCACTGGTGATTAACTTGTGTCCATCGATTAGTCGGCTGCTGATCCGCTAGGCCCCAGCAGATGAAGTATCTCCTCCTGTTTGTTTGACACGGTGAGCAGCAGTTTTAGAATGAAACTCTCTATTTGTGACCACTTTTTTAAACCTGGACTTTATTGTGATTGTCCGTTTATGTCTAGAGTCTTATTTTTGCGATTATTCTTAAAAAATAGTCCATATAGTGTTTTTGTGTGCACCTCAGAAGGACCAGTGGACCCTCTGTGGACGCCAGTGTGGCTCCAAACAAAGAATAAATCCAGAAGCAAGACACAAACACATTGTTGGTTTTAGTCACTTGGTTGTTTTTGACAATAAGGAAAATGTAGCAAGTCTAATCCTATAATATGGCACAGCGCTGCACGTAACATTTACTTTTATTATTTGTTAGGAAAAGGTAAAAATGTCATGAAAACTCTCCTGTAATTACCTAAAGCTGAAGGTAACGTCCTCAGATGTTTTGTCCAAAACATCAATTCACAATATGAAACGGACGAAAGTGTGTTTGAATAACAACTAACCGCTACTGTCGGCTCATCGATTTATGTAAATGTTCCAACTCATTTCTCTGAGGTTTGATCCCCGGCCCGACTGACCAGCCCTCTCACACGACAGATTCAGGAACTCGAAGTCGAATTCCTCGTAGAAAATGTGATCAATCAGTGACTGATGGCAAAAAGATGATTGATTACAACTAGGGCTGCGACTGTTTTTATCATCAGTTCATC